AGCAACGGACCAAATCCCAACAGTTAATGAGGTTCAACAAGCCTTGGTGGAGGCTGCAACTAATACAAGCCTCAACCTAAACATCACCTTAGTACCGTCATCTATCCAAGTAACAGGTACGTAATAAGCAGTCAAACATCTCACTAAAACAATTGTGCATGAACGTTTATGTAGGAAAAACACAAACCGCTGTTTTTGGCCTGTCTAGTTTTGCTAAAATTAACATTAAATACAATATATAGCTCTGTGGAATCATTTGTTGATGTACTATACTCCATTTTTGTTTGCAGGTCATAACATACCAACACCAACCACGGCTGCTCCTTCCACTGCAGTCATGCCAAAAACTACCACTCTGGTCACGACTACAGCCATTACACCAGAAGCTCTTGCTCCAGTCTTTTATGTTGCAGTAACAATGGTAGAACCATATGTTCCAGCGTTGACACAAAAGACCAGCAAAGAGTACCAGAGTCTTGAATTAATAGTTATAGAAACTGTAAGTGCAATGTTCAAATGTTTTCCTAAACCTTTGTGGAAATTACTGTTCCTTTTTTGACAGTAGTATAGAACAACAAGTAATTCCACGTTTTATTTTGTGTGCTCCTTTTCCGCAGTTCACCATCATCTGCAGGATCAGATTCAGTTTCCGCTTTAGAGGCTGTTATGTCATTGCATTCAGGTAAAGTTTTATTGGTTAAAGCAAATCTTTGTGTCTTTTTGCAAGACACGCATTTTGACCACCATTTCTAATCACAAAAGAGACATATATTTAAACTATGTCTTTCTGGCACGTTTCTTTCTTTCAACATTCCTATGTATTGAAATATTGCAGACCAAGCACCGTGGGCACACTTGTGAATGGTACTGAAGCAGAGGTTGGGGTAGAGTTTAGTAAAACCATAGCAACGGACCAAATCCCAACAGTTAATGAGGTTCAACAAACCTTAGTGGAGGCTGCAACTAATACAAGCCTCAACCTAAACATCAGCTTAGTACCGTCATCTATCCAAGTAACAGGTACGTAATAAGCGGTCAAACACCTCACTAGGAAAAACACAAACCGCTGTTTAGGCCTGTCTAGTTTTGCTAAAATTAACATTAAATACAATCAATAGCTCTGTGGAATCAATTGTTGATGTACTATACTCCATTTTTGTTTGCAGGTCATAACATACCAACACCAACCACGGCTGCTCCTTCAACTGCAGTTATGCCAAAAACTACCACTCTGGTCACGACTACAGCCATTACACCAGAAGCTCTTGCTCCAGTCTTTTATGTTGCAGTAACAATGGTAGAACCATATGTTCCAGCGTTGACACAAAAGACCAGCAAAGAGTACCAGAGTCTTGAATTAATAGTTATAGAAACTGTAAGTGCAATGTTCAAATGTTTTCCTAAACCTTTGTGGAAATTACTGTTCCTTTTTTGACAGTAGTATAGAACAACAAGTAATTCCACGTTTTATTTTGTGTGTTCTTTTTCCGCAGTTCACCATCATCTACAGGATCAGATTCAGTTTCCGCTTTAGAGGCTGTTATGTCATTGCATTCAGGTAAAGTTTTATTGGTTAAAGCAAACCTTTGTGTCTTTTTGCAAGACACGCATTTTGACCACCATTTCTAATCACAAAAGAGACATATATTTAAAATATGTCTTTCTGCCACGTTTCTTTCTTTCAACATTCCTATGTATTGAAACATTGCAGACCAAGCACCGTGGGCACACTTGTGAATGGTACTGAAGCAGAGGTTGGGGTAGAGTTTAGTAAAACCATAGCAACGGACCAAATCCCAACAGTTAATGAGGTTCAACAAGCCTTGGTGGAGGCTGCAACTAATACAAGCCTCAACCTAAACATCACCTTAGTACCGTCATCTATCCAAGTAACAGGTATGTAATAAGCGGTCAAACACCTCACTAAAACAATTGTGCATGAACGTTTATGTAGGAAAAACACAAACCGCTGTTTTGGCCTGTCTAGTTCTGCTAAAATTAACATTAAATACAATCAATAGCTCTGTGGAATCATTTGTTGATGTACTATACTCCATTTTTGTTTGCAGGTCATAACATACCAACACCAACCACGGCTGCTCCTTCCACTGCAGTCATGCCAAAAACTCCCACTCTGGTCACGACTACAGCCATTACACCAGAAGCTCTTGCTCCAGTCTTTTATGTTGCAGTAACAATGGTAGAACCATATGTTCCAGCATTGACACAAAAGACCAGCAAAGAGTACCAGAGTCTTGAATTAATAGTTATAGAAACTGTAAGTGCAATGTTCAAATGTTTTCCTAAACCTTTGTGGAAATTACTGTTCCTTTTTTGACAGTAGTATAGAACAAGTAATTCCACATTTTATTTTGTGTGCTCCTTTTCCGCAGTTCACCATCATCTACAGGATCAGATTCAGTTTCCGCTTTAGAGGCTGTTATGTCATTGCATTCAGGTAAAGTTTTATTGGTTAAAGCAAACCTTTGTGTTTTTTTTGCAAGACACGCATTTTGACCACCATTTCTAATCACAAAAGAGATATATATTTAAACTATGTCTTTCTGCCACGTTTCTTTCTTTCAACGTTCCTTTGTTTTGAAATATTGCAGACCAAGCACCGTGGGCACACTTGTGAATGGTACTGAAGCAGAGGTTGGGGTAGAGTTTAGTAAAACCATAGCAATGGACCAAATCCCAACAGTTAATGAGGTTCAACAAACCTTAGTGGAGGCTGCAACTAATACAAGCCTCAACCTAAACATCAGCTTAGTACCGTCATCTATCCAAGTAACAGGTACGTAATAAGCGGTCAAACACCTCACTAGGAAAAACACAAACCGCTGTTTAGGCCTGTCTAGTTTTGCTAAAATTAACATTAAATACAATCAATAGCTCTGTGGAATCATTTGTTGATGTACTATACTCCATTTTTGTTTGCAGGTCATAACATACCAACACCAACCACGGCTGCTCCATCAACTGCAGTTATGCCAAAAACTACCACTCTGGTCACGACTACAGCCATTACACCAGAAGCTCTTGCTCCAGTCTTTTATGTTGCAGTAACAATGGTAGAACCATATGTTCCAGCGTTGACACAAAAGACCAGCAAAGAGTACCAGAGTCTTGAATTAATAGTTATAGAAACTGTAAGTGCAATGTTCAAATGTTTTCCTAAACCTTTGTGGAAATTACTGTTCCTTTTTTGACAATAGTATAGAACAACAAGTAATTCCACATTTTATTTTGTGTGTTCCTTTTCCGCAGTTCACCATCATCTACAGGATCAGATTCAGTTTCCGCTTTAGAGGCTGTTATGTCATTGCATTCAGGTAAAGTTTTATTGGTTAAAGCAAACCTTTGTGTCTTTTTGCAAGACACGCATTTTGACCACCATTTCTAATCACAAAAGAGACATATATTTAAACTATGTCTTTCTGCCACGTTTCTTTCTTTCAACATTCCTATGTATTGAAATATTGCAGACCAAGCACCGTGGGCACACTTGTGAATGGTACTGAAGCAGAGGTTGGGGTAGAGTTTAGTAAAACCATAGCAACGGACCAAATCCCAACAGTTAATGAGGTTCAACAAGCCTTGGTGGAGGCTGCAACTAATACAAGCCTCAACCTAAACATCACTTTAGTACCGTCATCTATCCAAGTAACAGGTACGTAATAAGCGGTCAAACATCTCACTAAAACAATTGTGCATGAACGTTTATGTAGGAAAAACACAAACCGCTGTTTTTGGCCTGTCTAGTTTTGCTAAAATTAACATTAAATACAATATATAGCTCTGTGGAATCATTTGTTGATGTACTATACTCCATTTTTGTTTGCAGGTCATAACATACCAACACCAACCACGGCTGCTCCTTCCACTGCAGTCATGCCAAAAACTACCACTCTGGTCACGACTACAGCCATTACACCAGAAGCTCTTGCTCCAGTCTTTTATGTTGCAGTAACAATGGTAGAACCATATGTTCCAGCGTTGACACAAAAGACCAGCAAAGAGTACCAGAGTCTTGAATTAATAGTTATAGAAACTGTAAGTGCAATGTTCAAATGTTTTCCTAAACCTTTGTGGAAATTACTGTTCCTTTTTTGGCAGTAGTATAGAACAACAAGTAATTCCACGTTTTATTTTGTGTGCTCCTTTTCCGCAGTTCACCATCATCTACAGGATCAGATTCAGTTTCCGCTTTAGAGGCTGTTATGTCATTGCATTCAGGTAAAGTTTTATTGGTTAAAGCAAACCTTCGTTTCTTTTTGCAAGACACGCATTTTGACCACCATTTCTAATCACAAAAGAGACATATATTTAAACTATGTCTTTCTGCCACGTTTCTTTCTTTCAACATTCCTATGTATTGAAATATTGCAGACCAAGCACCGTGGGCACACTTGTGAATGGTACTGAAGCAGAGGTTGGGGTAGAGTTTAGTAAAACCATAGCAACGGGCCAAATCCCAACAGTTAATGAGGTTCAACAAGCCTTGGTGGAGGCTGCAACTAATACAAGTCTCAACCTAAACATCACCTTAGTACTGTCATCTATCCAAGTAACAGGTACGTAATAAGCGGTCAAACACCTCACTAAAACAATTGTGCATGAACGTTTATTTAGGAAAAACACAAACCGCTGTTTAGGCCTGTCTAGTTTTGCTAAAATTAACTTGGTTGACTTTGAAAACCAGTCCATTTAGATAATGAAGATGACATTTGTTTGAATTATTTTTTTAAACAGTTGTAACATTAAGAACTGAAAATTCAACTACAACTACTACTACAACCACAGAAGTCCCAACAAGAATGACTACGGCTCTAACAAAGACAGCAGCTGCTCCAATCACAACTACAGAAGCTTCAATTGTAACTACAACAGTTCCAATATTTGCTCCAACAACAACTACAGCAGCCCCAACAAAAAACAATCTCACAGAAGCCACAACATCAACCACAGCTGCATCAACATCAATCACAACTGCTCCAACTACATTCATACCTTCTCAATTTACAACCACGGGAGCCCCAACAATAACCACATCTATTGCAACAAAAACCGGTGCTGCTCCAACAACCACAACTGGTCAAAAAACAGAAACAAAAGCTCCAACAACAATCACAGCAGCCTCAAAACCAACCCTACCCTTTCCAACAACAACCATAGAAACCTCATCAATAATCGCATCAGCTCCAACTAAAACCAAAGCTGTTCCAACTACAACCACATCTAAACCAGCAACAACCACAGCTTATCCAACAAAAACCATTGCAGTCCTAACAATGAATACTGCAGCTTTAAGAACAACCACAGCAACTACCACCACCCCAACAACAGCCACGTTTTCTATAAAGACAGCTACTCAAACAAACACACCTTTTTCGACAAAAGCTATAACACCCCCAGAAACAATTGCAACTAATACAGCCACCATAGAAGTTTCATCAGTATCAATAATCATACCTACCACCACCACTGCAGCCCCAACACAAATGTCAGTATCCACTACGACTAAAGTTGCTTCAAAAACTACCTCACCTGCAGTGACAACTAAAATCACTACAACCGAAGCTCCTGCTATAGTCTATGTTGCTTCAGCAACTATAGTAGAACCGTATGTTCCAGAGTTAAGTGATAAGAACAGCAAGCAGTTTCGTGCTCTTGAAAAAAGAGTGATACTAACTGTAAGTGCATTTTTAAAATAAAGCAATCTACTTTATTTTAAGGGTTTCACTTTAAATTTTAATCTTATGTCCTTTTTTGCTCCCCAGTTTACAGCCATCTACAAGACTAAATATGGGGATCTTTTCATCAGTTGCTATGTCATTGATTTTAAGTAAGATTTCACTATCCATTTTACCATTTTGTATCACATAAAGTTTAATTAAAACAAACAATTAAAAAGTATATAAAGGTAATTGTCTTTTTTGCCCTGTTCTTCATGTTGTTGTTGTTGTTTTTTATGTTCCTATTTATTGGTGTTTTGCAGACCAGCTCAACAAGTCAAAGTACGAATGGAGGAAACTCAAGCAGATGTTGGCTTGGTGTTTAGCAATACCGTACCATCTGAGAAAGTCCCAGCAGCTAAAGATGTTCAACAAACCTTAGTGGAAGCTGCAACTAATACCAACCTCACCCTCAACATCACCTTTGAACCTTCCACAATCCAAGTGTTGAGTAAGTAAATTTACTTAGCTTAAAATAAGCAACAAATACACTTTGGTTAATTTGCCTGCTTTTTATTCAAATTAGCTTTTTGGTTTTGTTTATATTTTAGCTAAAAAATAATTAATTTTGTCATTTTAAATAATAGAAAATTACTTTGATTGTAATTTTAAACTTCTTTTATTGAGATGTAAAATTATTTTTTTCCGTATACATATTAAAATAACAGTAAAAGGAAACCTGTTATCGTTTTTGACTTGTAGTTTTAATCATGAGATGTTCCCTTCTTCCATAATTGCCTTGTGTTCAATAATAGCATTACTATAAGCATCAACTCTATTTTTTATACAGTAATTAAAAATCTGGATTTAAGTTTTTTTTATCATTCAATAATCCATTTTTACTTTTTGGTTATTATTTTATTAAAGTATTCTTTAATGCAAAAATTTTTTTACATCATATTTCCTTATTTTTGGCAGGAGTACCTCTCACAACAACTGCAGCAACTACTGTGACTTCTACCACAACTGCTACTACTACCTCCAAAACTACACCAATAACCACTTCTACAACCAGCACCAAAACTGCTACAACTTCTGAGCCAACAACAACAAGGCGGCTGACCTTTAGGTCTGCTAGAGAAACATTTACCAGTGATCTGGGAAATCCATCATCAGTAGCATTTCTAAATCGAGCTGCACTAATAAAGTCAAAAGTAAGTATGTTATTTTATACTAGAAAAGTATCCTCGTGAACTTGAAAAAAAAAAGTTGGGGGGGGGGGGGGGGGTTGGGGGCTCTGTTCAGTTTGGGGTGTCCTAGGGTTTCCTAGCATTTGGGTCATTTGGAGATCCAGCGGTTGGGGGCTGTGGCTCCAGGCTGGGTGGTGCTTTGTTGACCTTGAGGGGTACCTATCTGGCAGCAGTGTGTGGCACCTTTAGGGATCTGTGCTGGTGGCCATGGGTTGCTGCCTGATAGACGTGATCACTCCTGGGTCAATCAGAGGGGACCATTGTGGCTTGGGTTCTGGGGTGGATTATCCCCAAATGGAAGTCTCGGCTGGGCCTAAGGTGCTTGGGTCCTGCCTCATATGCTTCCAGTGGAATAGGTGGGTCCATTCAGTGGTGCTCAGCCCTGGCCTGAGGGCCTTTGCTGTCTTGGTGGATTTGGTGCCTTCTTAAAGAGTAAGTCATCCCCAAATCTACTGATAAACTGTATAAACTACTGTCTAATATTGTTGTACACATTTGTACTCATTATCTTTTGTCATTTGATTGCATCTTCTTTAAAATATGAATATTTACACTAAAACCATGGTAAACTTTTTTTAATCCCCCCCCCCCCCCCCCCCCATGTCCTGTCTGGCTGTCAAGCAAACAGAAATGATGTCTGAATGCTGGTGACAAGCCTTACAGATTTACTCTCAGGTGGAACATCAAAGCTTCTGCTTTAATGTCACACCTGATACTTAAAACTTTATTGTTGTTGTTTTTTGGATGCTTTATAATTCTGACCAGACACAGAGACAGAGGTGAAAGAGAAAGGAAGAGACAAAAGGAAGAGGAGGGAGGGGTTCCAAAAAAATAAACTATCTATGATGAACAAGTTTGCTTCTAGACCTGCAGAAAAAGAAAAACAAACAAAAAAAGGGACACACAACAATCAAAAAAGAGCAAGCTATTACTGTGTCAACCTGATGAGGAAATATAAAATCAACATTGTTTTACTGAACAATCACGATAATAACTCACAGTGCATTTAGTGTCAACCACATGCCCAAGTCCATACTTATGAGAGAACCATGTGAGCACCTGTGTGCATACATGCGCTTATATGTGTGAGGTTTCTCTATAGGAGCATCAATAGAGAATGTGAGGAGCCACAGATATCCCCCCCCCCCCCCCCCCCAAAAAAAAAGATGTGTAGGAGATGGAGGGAGCTCCAACTCCCATAGATCCAGGATGTTAACTCACTGTAAATGTATATATTGAGGGAGTTTCTCGTTTCTTGTTCTATCGCAAGATTTGTTTGTTTTTTTTTTTTTGTTCTATCGCGAGGCCCTGTGAGGAGCGGGAAGGCGGAAAGGAGAGAGGGTTCTGGATGGCAATAACGGCAGCACTGAAAAGTAAACGTGTGGTTTATTAAACTTTACATAGTAGCAGAGGATGGTTTCGAACTATAGAACGCCGCCTAAACTCAATGAAACCAGGCCGTACAAATGCTGGAAAAATGAAGTTAGTATGTGGAGACTTGTTACGGATCTGGAAAAGAAAAAACAAGCGCCCGCAGTGGCGCTGGGACTCAAAGGACGAGCCAGAGAGACTGCTTTAGGGATATCCACAGAGGATCTTAACAAAGATGACGGTATGGAAACCTTGCTTACAAAATTGGACACCGTTTTCCCGAGAGAAGAAAAAGATCGAGCTTATGAAGCATATTCTCACTTTGACTCGATATCTAAAGACAGTGCAATGTCTATGGCGGACTACATTATAGAGTTTGAACAAAGGTACAACCGTATAAAAAAGTATGACATGACTCTACCTGATGATGTACTAGCATTCAAGCTCCTGGACACAGCCTGTCTCGAGGAGAAGAACAGACAGCTAGCACTTACGGCATGCACGGATCTGAGATTTTCATCGATAAAATCAGCACTGAAGCGGATTTTTGGAGGAAAATCCATCGGGACAAGCATTGGTTGTGATACGCAAGGTGCTGTTTTCTACACGGAACAAAAGTCAACCAACAAGTTCAGACGGAATAATTGTCCACCACAGAATTGAACACGACAGCCACAACAAGGTACAAATCCTCTAGATAGATACGGGAAGCGCACTGTAACGTGAGGAAATATGGGTTTTCTGTCACAATGGTGGTGCTGGACGCAGCGAGGTCAAAGCTGGGTCATTGAGAACTTTCACCCACAGATTAAGACCTGAACGCCAGCGAGTCTGGGAGGAAACCATAACATCTGCCACCTGCGGTCTACCAGAAGATGTGTTTACATGAGTTGTACCCAGACCAAGTCAAAACATAAAGTTTAAACTTCCTTTTCTCGATTTTAATGTTAAAGTAACCATTATCATTTTGCTCATTATAAATGTGTTTAATCAAATGAATGACTATTATGCTTTGGGGTAATTATAATGGTTTAATGAATCCATTCTTAAATAATGTTGAGAATGTTTGTTACTGACCTTCACACACACTCAAGCACAAACATTCACACACACCCACACACACCTGCTCACAGTAAACTCCAGACACATTTGATGACGCACGTTTGCTTTGAGAAGAGAAAGGTTTTTGGTAAGTTTAAGTCTTAAGTTTAGCAGTTCGTGTTGGACTACGGAGGAGAGTGGACCTGAAAACCAAAGGGGGGTTAGAGCCGGCTGGCTCGTTCTTCCCCCCTTTTCACGCTGTTTCTGCCAAGCCAGGCAGAATAGCTGAATCGCAACTTCTAACGTAGACTCATTACCGAGTCTTTTGATTTCTGAGTGAATTAACTTAAGAAAGCGCGTCGACAAAACGCTTTACCATCAACGTGTACCGAGGGCAACTCTGGACCGGTTCCGTTCGACACCTACGTCTCCTGTCAGCCGCCGGTGTCATCTGGATGTACCACAACATCCTCCACGGCCCGGATCCGAAAGAGGGTCCACAAGAATTCGGTGAGACAGAACACGGTGTTTAGCGTTTGGATGCATCTTTTCCAACTAAACCTAAGTTATTCAAACCATCACTTTTCACTCAGACACCTGTTTCTTCCTGAAGCAAAATCAGATGCGCACAATCCATCTCACCACATATCACTCTCACAACTCACAACATTCTCAATCTTCATAAATTCACCAGAAGGTCTATTTGAGCAAGAACAGCATATAAACTGTTAAAGATTGTCCCACAAAGTTGCCAATGTGATTGTTATTTCCTGTTTGTCAATTTTCAAAATCATTAGTTTAATTTGAAGAATTAAAACTTTTAATCCTTCAAACTGGTTTCCTCATTGAACTGAAACACAGACACTCAGATATTATCGGCAGTTTATCGATGAAAACAAATTTGGTTATTGATTTATTAAAAATTAATATTCCGAATTAATACGTAGCATGGTTCCTCTTTCATAAAAGAGCATAAAACCACAACGCTACAGCACTAAATCTGCCAAAGTACGTACCATTGGGCTAAAGGCTGTCCTCATCGGAAAATTGATGTAAAATTGACAGAAGACTAAGCCGTAGAAGAATGCAACATTACGTTGTTCACTAAAGAGGCTATAGCAGACTGTGAGATTTTTCTAACCGAAGCACGGGAATCAGCCATTATTGATACTGCATGCACAAGAACTGTTTGTGGTGAGAAGTGGCAGGAAAGTTATGTAAATGATCTCAGTGAAAACCTAATTCACAAGCTACTAAACACAGAATCTCCAAGCTGCAAGTCTTTCAGATTTGGTGATGGCCAAGTGGTGTTCTCCAACAAAAAATATAAGATTCCAGCTAAAATAGGCCAAACAAAATGTTGAAAGTCAGGTTGTTCCAGTTGATACTCCCCTGCTTCTGAGCAAGATGTCACTAAAAAGAGCAGGGACAGTCCTGGACATGGAAAATGACAAAGTTGTCACGTTCAAACAGCAAGTGCCTATTGAGCTAACTACTTCCGGACACTACTGTGTGAACATTAAGGATGATAATGATGCAAAAGTGAGATACAATGAAGGTGAAGTGCTTATGCTCACAGCAGAGATGTCAGGGAAAGAAAAACATTAAGTCCTACTGAAGCTACTCTAACAGTTTGGCCATGCATCTGCTGACCGGTTACAAAGACTCATCCAAAGCTCTGGAAGCAAGGATTAAGATTGTTCAGTCGGAGAGTCACGCGGGTGCAGCTTCCAAGATGGCCGCAAGCTAGGGAGCTCTCTTCCCCGCACATGCTACTAACAGAATTTTAGCTGAAAAACGCAACTACACTTGTTGAATATTGTTCCTTGGGAGTACTGAGTCTGCATACGTTTGATATTTAGTCTGAAAAGATTAAAAAGCCATGTCGACGTCGTCGAAATATTTTAAAAGCTCGTCACGAGCATGTACCCGGAAAGGCCATGTCCACGAAGACAACAGCGATACGGGAGAAAACCCAGTACCCACGACTGCGACAGTCAGCCTGGAAAAACTTTTTGCAGAAATATCGAAAATGAGTGAAATGCTCCAGAATGTTGCGACAGATGTCGTGTCTATTAAACAGGCTACTGCCAAGCTGACTACGACGGTGACAGCAATGCAGGAGAGGCTTGGTGAGGTCGAAACGCGAATTACGCAGCTGGAGGAGACGTCAGAACGGCTTCAGAAAGATAAGGAAAGTGGGAACAAACAAATGGAGAAGATGTGGAACCGGATACAAGCCCTCGAGAACCACAGCAGGCGAAATAATGTGAGACTGGTGGGACTAAGAGAGACCTTCGGAACCAACGGAACGCTGCATGAATGCGTGCGGAAGATCTTGGCTGAGGGCCTCGGCGTGCAGATGAGTGAGGAGTTTGAGATGGAGCGGGTGCACAGACAGATGGCGCCAATGCCGAATGAAGGGCAACCCCCGAGGCCGGTACTGATCCACTTCTTGAGGCAGTCGGCGCGGGACAAGGTGATCGGCGCGGCCAAGGAGAAGCGAGGGATTGTTTGGGAGGGAGGCCGCCTCTCTGTGTTCCCGGACATGT